AAAAGAAAGATTGGCTGAAGTCCTGCATGCCGTTTTGTGGTGGGGGGGTCGCGGGGGTGGCAGATTGAATTTCGTCATCATGCTCATTTTTCTCACAGATAGTGGCCAACTGAGCCTACTATAAAGTGCAGTCACACAAATAACGCGTATGCACGATATTAAAAATATGAAATGACGACAATTTACACATCGCACCCTCACTGTGTATATATATATATATATATATATATATATATATATATATGTATGTATGTAAAGGGAAAACTTTTCTTCACCAACGTGTTTCGACTTCAATGGTTTTATCTAAGCAAACATGAGTATTTTTTACGTCTAGTATTTATAAACAGAAATGAAATAAAATCTAAGGTTTTCCAAATATTTGTCTTCATAAACGCTCATAAATATACATAAACATAAACTATTGAGGACAGGACCCAAAGAGTGTGAGTTCAAACCCGGTTAAGGAAGTGGAGAACTTTCAGAGGGAAACTAACAAGAGATAACTGATAACTGACACGTGGAACTAGAACAGTCTACCTCAGTGAGCGAAATAAAGCGTTCAGTTTGACATTCCAACAACCTGGAGCGTACAACGGCCGAAATGTTGTGATAAATATAGCGACAAAAACGAAGAATTGTCCGAACAATTTAAATAGTGTACATAATGCCGCATCTCAGAAATATAGACAGACTGGCAGCATGGTCCGGCGTTGCCCGTGTTTGATTTAAAAATAGTACGACTAATACAGCAATCGCTATCACTTGACTTTGCTATATTTTTTGACTATATTTTTGCCCTTCCTTGCCTTTAGAGGAGTGCTCTTTGCCGTGCTGATGTTGTTACATGCCTTACTTCTTGCCTATATCATACTGCCAACTTTTTCTAAGCTCTATAGTAAATATTAAATCGGTTACGAAAAAAGAACTAAACAAAATAAACACAATTCGATCAGCTTTAAAAAAAACCCGGAAAAATCATTTTTAAGGGTTGACCGATTGTCGATTTGCACTCTGTTTGTGGGGGGGGTGCTCAGAGTTAAAACTTCACAAGATGACTCCCAATGGCCTCTTCATAAATCCGCTCGGTTCTCGCTAAAAACCGACATGCGGTTCAGACTCAATCTGGGCGTATCGGTTTTTGGGTTTTATCGATTTTCCGCGCTGTTTAGGGGCCCGTGGTCATGAAACTTCTGGACAACACTTCTAATTGTAGACTCTAAGAGGGTGTCAAATTTGGTTGAAATGCGATCATTCCTTCTGTAAGCAGAATTTTTTCGATTATCGATTTTTTCGGAACCTGATTCCGAACTCAAAAATCGGGCTCCGTCATGTCCTTACGGCAGCCATTTGCAAACTTGTGTTGAAAACCGCATCGACATCGGGTGAGAAATGCGGCCTGGGCGAGGTAACAACGCCCACGACAATATACAGAAGAATAAAAAGGGACTATTGTTTTTGTTTATCTGAACGTGACATTTTCTGTTTGTATTTCAGGGATGAGGTTTTATCATTATTCATATTATTTACAAGACTTCTCATATTTGTTGTTGTTCTCACAACGGAAATGATTTCGCTTGTAAATTTTCAAATTATTTATGAATTCGAAAATTATATAAAACAATTTTAAAGTAGTTTTAACCCAGGGAATTTTAATGATTTTCCTATCTGTCTTTATTTCTGATATGAGGTATTGTAATTATTTACATTGTTTGAACTGTTGTCCCCAACTTTATTGCCATATTCGCGATGTTTCGGCCGTTGGACCCTCCGGTCTTCTTCAGGTGACTGAAATTTCGATTTGAATCCTTCATTTCGTCCACCGGGGTAGATTGTTCTTATGGATGTCTCAGTTATTTCCTTTGACTCAACTCTCCAAGATTTTGTTCAACTCTGTAGTATCCAGGTATTGAACTCTTTGGGTTGAGCCACTGGATCTATGTGTCCTTGAGGATATCAGTGTATGAATTATTGGGACTTATCAAATTGATGTCTCAGTAACCATTATTAACCAGAGCTCATAGTGCATTTTTTTTCATATTGCTTTTCTCTAACACCGTATTACTGGTTCATATATTGTATTCATTTCTATGTTTTGCTGGCTTTGTGTCGTAGCATATATGCTGATTCCTTAAGTTTACTTATTTTCCAGTGATATTCTCTATCTATTATTTTAACCTAATTCCACAGGAGGTTGTTGATCTCCCTTTTCCATCCATATGTGGTCAGCTACGCCTGATTTTATATTTTCCGTCGTTTTACGGCTTTACCAAATTCTTGAAGGGAGAGAGGTGTTTCCTATTTGAAAATTCTAATGAATCTTAATTCCTCAGTAAATGATTGAATAAAACTCTAGATCTACGACGATAAAATATCCGTAGAAATTCCTCTATCGCATTGTTAAATATTTGAGTTTAACTCCTTTAACAAAATATTGCTATAACCATCGTAAATATTAATACTGGCAGTTATTTTAAAAAGTAAGGGGGTACAAGTGAAAAGGTTTGAAATTGAAAATTTTATTTTTTCCCTGAAATCAAATAGCGTATCTGATATTTTCCACGTCTTTACACATGATGAGGACATGGCCGAGTGGTTAGAACGTTTGCAGTCCCACCATCGTCGATTCGTCAAGAAGAAGACTTCCTATGTTATCGGACTTATCCCATCATGCGGCACATTTGGAAAGGACCTGAAAAACATAACACGGGTTGACCCAAGCCTTGTCAGTACAATTGGGTAGACTGAACACTTGGACGATATCGATAGCTATGCTAGCACGAAGTCATAAGTCAGGGTACTGGCCTTGTTCAAATTGTTGATCAGGCGAGATAACACACTCTTTCCCAGAAACTGTAACTAAAGTCTGCTCAACATAGTTGGAATATACCAAAGGTGGGCTCTGTCCGTGTTGAATAAACACAAAATGCGCCTGAGCAAGCGTCTGCAATAGAGACCGACTAGCCGTTCCAGTGGGCGGTCATCCTCGAATACGATTGGACAGCTATACATACACGTGATCGAAACAGAATAGTCCATTATTCATAAGATATTGGCGGAGGGGGATGGTCATTCGAACTAACGAAGGGAAGGATGGGCAAGCACAATTACTAAATGAGAATTATTACTTATATTCACTTGTTATATCCATTAAATTATTATTTATATTCACCAGTTTATTTTCATACAACACTAGATGGCGTTTTCTTCCTCACATCAAGCAAACCGGGAGTACCACTTGCATGCAAGGGTTTACAGAGAGTGAGAGCAAGAGTAAAGAGGGTTCTTTGAGGAAAGGGTATAGAGGAGGACGGACAACTAGTTCAAAGCATCAGAAGCTGTCGATTGGCATTATATTTGATTTTCAGATAATTTACTTGTTGTTCAATTCCGTTCCTCTTGACGTCAGTATGTTCTGTGAGTGTCTTTCATCCTTATTTGTGTCCGACATTTTAGCTGTGTGTTCTTTTTTTTTTTGCTGATCCTAAGAGCAAATGATCTTTTCGTTCTCATTTTTTTTACTTTTTTTTTAAGCATTTCACCCCAAGCAAGGCGGGAGTGCCACTAGCACACAAGGGGTTTCAGAGGGTTAAGTACAAGAGTAAAGAGTAAAGAGGCGTTTTTGAGGAAAGGATAAAAAGGAGATCAAGGTATCAGAAGATGTATATTGAAATTACACTTAAATGTTTGAAGATTATAGCTATCACGGTAGCTAGTAAGAGGACGGGAGTTCCACTGTCGGGAAATGCGAGATAAGAAGCTGTTCGAGTAGAAGAAACAGCTACATTTAATTGTTTCGACAGCGAAAGGGTGGGACCGATATGCCAACCTAGTAGCACGCTTAAATTCATGCAGTTTGGGAACCAGCGAAAGTAGCTCGTCAGGTCAGTTGCCGTTAAAATACTTGTAGGAAAAACAGAGGTAAACAACGGCTCGTCTGTCAGAAAGTGACTGTAGACTTATCTGGCATCTCGTGAAAAACTTCACAACTTTGAAATTCGAAATAAAATAATAATAAAAAATTAAAAAAAACAACGAAAGCTAAAACTTTTCGTTTACGTTCCTCTTAATGTTGAGAAAAAATAAAATCAAATCATATGAGAAAGATCAAGTTGTGATATTACATACTATATTGATGCCACTAATAAAAATAGTGTTTTGTTTTTATACTCATGAATATTCGGCTGGTCTGGGGACACTGCTTCGGACAAGTCAGCTATAAATACAGCCTCGACTATCCTTCAACCGAAATGGAAAAACGTCACATCTAAGGAATGAGACAGGAATTCTTTTCCCCAGAGACCCAATCTTTTATCTTCCTACTCTGTTTTGTCCATAGTTTGAATAGAGACACATGTGAACATATACGCATACACACATACGCGCATGCACAAACACAGAAACGTCCATAACATAATAAACACACACACACACATATATATATATATATATATATATATATGGCACATGTGTGTGGGTGAGATTATTTGGAATTCACTTGAGACCTCTGTAAAATAATCTAAGTAAAAATATGTACCGATTGTACCAAACGGACCCCGAATCTGGGTTCTTAAATTGATTTCTATCAGCATTTTATTCAAAAATATATTGCAACAGGTAACAGGTATTTAAATCTCAAGAGTTGGGAGACGAGACAGATATATGAATAAATATATGAATCGTATGGTGTACTATACTAGATGCTGTTGTGAATGTTGTTGTTTTTCTTTTTGTTGTCCAGTGTGTAGTATTGCACCACATACCCTTCACAGCAGGGGTTTCTATTAGATTTTCGTAACAAATAGTCATTTAAGGAGTTGAAATGTGGTTTAAGGTTACACATCTCCTAGACTGGTTTCTAGCCAAAGCTACAGTGTCCAGTCTGGCATCGCTGTAAAAAGGAGAAATGGATTCTTATATTTCAACGGTTAATTTTGCGAAAGCAAGCCCAAAGTCTTCCGGCTTACATTTGATTAAACCCACCTTCTACGCAGATATCTAGGCTAGAAGATAGATAGATAGATAGATAGATATGAACAGACTATGATAGATTGGCTTTGAACAGACATAAATTTGAACATATATATACATACATACATAGATATACTTGAAAAAGACTTAAATTTGAATAGATAGATAGATAGATAGATAGATAGATAGATAGATAGAGTTGCCTTGAACAGACTTAAAATGTTACAGATACATACATACATATAACTGGCCACTCGTATTCGAGGATACCTGTCTACTAGGGCGGTTAGCTAATCCCTATTGCCGACGCTTGCTCAGGTGCATTTGTGTTTATTCAACGCCCACATTGGTTTATACTGCAACTATGCTGAGCATACCTTAGTTACAGTTTCTGGGAAAGAGCGTGTTATCTAGCGTGATCAGCAATTTGAAAAAGGCAAGGACGCTCAAGCCTAGCACGGCTATTGACGGCACCCAAGAGTGTCGCTTCCCATTTTTAAGCACAAGGCTTGGGTCAACACGTGGTAAGGTTTTCGAATTGTATCGCACGCTGGAATCGACTTCTCCAGTTCGATAACATCAGAAAAATCGATTATGGTGAGATTCGAACCCGGGACTCATCGTCAGAATGCGAACATTCTAACCACTCACCCACGTGCACACGCACGTACATACGTACATGCATACATAGATTAATTTCTTTGAACATTTTGATAGAATGATAGACCGAAATTGATAGATAGATAGATAGGAACAGAATGCGATAGTTAGATAGATAGATAGATAGATAGATAGATAGATAGATAGAAAGGTAGACTGACAAATAGGAACAGAATGAGATAGATAGATAGATAGATAGATAGATAGATAGATAGATAGATAGATAGATAGATAGGAACAGAATGAGATCGATCGATCGATAGATAGATAGATATGAACAGACTGTGATAGATAGATAGATAGATAGATAGATAGATAGATAGATAGATAGATAGATCTGTGCCCATTTGCGTTATTTAGTTTAATAGTAAAAGATGTACTGAAATGTTAATTTGAATGTGATACTAACGAAAGAACTGAACATTCCGAATTAAGCAAGCTAATCAGCAAATGATAAGAAGTCGTGGAGTGCTCCAGTCGTCCTATTCTGATGTGACATTGAACATAGAAGCAGAATATGAATCAATAAATAATGACAAATAAAATGACAGATCAACATCGAAAAAGTAGGAAGATACGATGAATAAAAGGGAGATCCTTGAAACTTTCTTGATCCGCAATCGACAAAGCTTAGCAGCAATTGATTACATTAGAAGATATTAGGTTAGGAATTAAAAGCTTTCATATGTGAAAATGAAAAAATAAAAATAAAAAATATTCTTCGCTTTTAACTTATATGTTTAATCAAGATAATATTTCTCTCTTCATCTATAACATATTCCCACCTATTTGGCAAATTGTTAATCTCACGGGCGTAAAATATTTCAGGCTTCAATGCAATGAAACACATCAGTTTTAAAATCTTTTAAATTAATAAGCTATTCTGTCTCTTAAAAACGTTGCAATGATATGAAAGAATGAAAGTCAGGTGACTCAATGCCAAAAGAGTGAAGAGGAAAAGGCACAACTTCTATATGTAGTGAGAATGACTCAAATACCGTATTTTCTTGAATTAAGTTGTAAGAACAAAATGACTTTACTATTGACCATTTGAGCCCTGGTCACCGCTTTATCGATGGCAGAGAAAAATAACGTAATTCCCAGCCACCGGTTGAACAGTGATAGAGAAAAATGTCTTAATGTCCACCTACCGGTTGAACAGTGGGTAAATACTTGTAACTATTTTTATATCTACCGTGAAACATTACATAACAATTATTTGCGAATTTTGACTCAGGATATCAGTCAGAAGGGTTAAAATTGTTTAGGAACGCAAGGGCCAAAGTGTTAATTAACAACGTTCATCTTTCTGAATTTTTTTGATCAGTTCTTCGAACTGACAAAGATGTTTCTGAGTATTATTTATTTCTTTGATCCCTGACCATCGCTTTACTGGCGGTAGAGAAAAATGACGTAATGCCCAAGCGCCAGTTGAACAGTTGTAGAGGAAAATTACTTAATGTCCAGCTACCTGTTGAACAGTGGTAGAGAAAAATGACGTAATGCCTAGCCACCGGTTAAACGGTGGCTAAACACTTGTAACAATTTTTATACCTATTGTGAAACATTACATAATAATTATTTGCGAATTTTGACTCAGGAGCTCAGGCAGAAGAAGGGTTAAAATTGTTCAGGAACGCAGGGCGCTTAAAGGGTTAATTAACAACGTTCAACTTTCTGAAATTTTTTGTGCAATGCTTCGAAATGACAAAGATTTTTCTCCGCATTATTTATTTCTTACTTTATGGAAGACAAACACCCTCTTATCCAACCAATTAAAATATAATATTTTCGGGTTCAATCCTAGTTTGGAGATTCTCTTTTGTCAATGGAGGCTAAACGTAGTGGTTTTCGTTGGATATAATGAACCCCTTTTTCATAACTTGATGAGTCTACCCAGAAAAGATTCACTAACAAGGTAGCAAAAAAGGACTGAGAACAACTTCTAAAAAAACTAAATGACAAATTCTGTCCGTACGTCTCTCCGTCCGTCCGCGTGTCTCGCATCCCTCTAACACGGTCCACACTTGTTTTACATTGATATATTAAAACTGTTGGGAATCAGAATGTTACTGTTGTTGAAAATCTGCCTTTCATCTGGTACTTGAACATCTAGCATTAGGATTTGTGTCCCGATGAGGAAAAAACAGTTCAAATTCAAATTTTAAAATGACTGAAAAAAATAATGATCTAAAAGCTTTTAATTTATAGTGAGTTTAAAGTAAGACAACAAATTTGTGAATTTTGTTTTGAATTCAGTTTAAAATATCTCCAAAACCTTTTAAAATGAGGAAATCAATTTTATTTTTCCAAAAATTCCAAGGAATCAGAGTTAAAGTGAAGGATTTCGTTACGTGAGGTTTGAAGTTCCGCAGAGTTTGTGATTTGAAGAACTCAGTTTCGACCCAAATTGGAGTTTCGGCCCAAATCGGTCATTGGGCCGGAATTAGACTTAGAGCACACATCAGATTTAAAGAGAGGTTTTCAAGTTCCATGGAGTGAACTGATGAATTCAAAGTTATTTCTTCAAAATTATCATTGCTGTTTTCTAAGCTGGACCAGAGGTCCCTTTTCTTTTGGACGGGAGGCCAAATTAGGGAGGTTTGAAGTTAATTTAGACTAAGTTAATTTAGAATAAATTCAAAGCTAATTTAAAATAAGTTCCGAAGCAGCAAGGGGATGAAGGACTCATTGTTAATGAATGTGTTTTATGATCAAATTGTAACTTGTATTGAACCATTTTACTAAATATTATAGTTTTCTTATGAAAAAATTCCCTATTGAAATAATATGAAATCATCGTCTGCCATGTCGAGACACATAAAGTGTCATTTCCGTAGACCGAAAGAACATTCCTTGACGCTTCGGTTGCTGAAGAGCTCTTTTGGCATTCAGTTTAAATTTTACATTTATAGAGTGTACCATGACTGGGATTGATCTAAACACACTTAAAAAGCGTAAGAGGATCGATTCCGATATTAAATAATATATAATGAAATCCAAAATATTTTAACGTAAAAAATAATGATTATTTTACCGTAAGCTTTGAATAAATAAATTGTTTCAACACACGGATTTTCTGGATAAGTGGGTGGATGGACTACCAACAGGAAAAAAGATAAAACCTGTCAACCGCCGGATGGACCCTCTTGTAGTGCCAAAAGCCATCCAGCAGTATGCGGTAGACTGGTCTTCATAGCTATGTATACCAAAAGTGCGCTGATAATACAGCATTAGTGGGCGGAGGGCTTCCTAGTTTGAATTCAACACCTTGGATGGAGGAGTCATTGATGGAAACATCTCTGGTCAAGGTTAGTCTTCAAATTCGAAGACATCGGCTATGGTTTTCCCTGGTTGGGACATGTCTACTTGCCAAAGATACACTACGCATGCTTTCAAACAAGATGTGTAAAGGAAACTTTTCAGGTCCTTACTTACACAGCAACTGTATGACCACACACGATCACGGAGCTAATGATGATGATAATAATCGTGGTCATGGATAATGCTCTCATATCAAAGATAACAGAATGTTCTTTTTAAACTGATAAGTACACAGTATTTGCAAAATATCGACAAGATATTAAGTAAAACCCAAGGGTGAGATAAAAAGATTCATACGGGGAAAATAAATACGTCATTAACAAATCGATAAATCAAATCAAATGGAGGTTTAGGGGCTAACGAAAGAAATATGGATTGCATTCCAAAGTGCAGAATGGAAGAAAGGCCTGAAGCGATATGGCATAGTAACAGATATTTTGAAAGATGCAGAAAAAGCAGTCTATATCTTACACAGTAAAGAATTTTCTTTCAAAACTTCGGTCTAGAAATACTAAATCATTCGTAGAACCTATATATATATATATATATATATATATATATATATATATATATATATTGAAATTTCATTAAACCTTTGTGTCAGACTATTGGCTGCTATGAAGGTATAAAGAACTTCATTTGGTCGATCTTCGGGATCAAAGATATAACCCCAAGATTCAATAAATCCTCCTTCCAAACTACTCCTCGCTAAATCCTATCATTTGCATTAAATGGATATGAAGAGATTGTTGACCCGTCATACGTAGAATCTACGGGTAGTCGAACATATATATATATATATATATATATATATATAGATATATAGATATATAGATATATATATATGGTAAAGGCAATAAATACAAAGAAATATAATCCAAGTGGATCCTAGGAATATAAAATATTAAAAGCGATTAACAAAAAGAGCTCAATGCATTTATTATTAAATAGCAAATAAATTCTGACATGAACTCAGTTTACAAACAGAGACTGAGTAAAACTGACGAGGTTTTCGTCGGTTGAAATATGTCTATTCCTTATATGAGTAATTTGAGATTTTCTATGTACTAATATATATATATATATATATATATATATATATATATATATATATATATATATATATATACCGTTGAACACGCAATAGCCACGAATATCTATCTAAATGACATATGTAACCTAGTCTAGATGGCAACACAGCGCCATCTACCGAAAACTTTCTTTACACTTAATAACACAGAAAGGAAGGATATGCATATACTTGTTTATATGAAATTCTGTCCTTGTTTTGGCGTGAGAACACGCCCCAAAGTTTGTAAATGTATTTTTTGATACAGCCTATATATATATATATATATATATATATATATATATATATATATATATATATATATATATGTGTGTGTGTGTGTGTGTGTGTGTGTGTGTGTATGTCTGTGTGTGTGTCACATAGTATACTGGAAGCAAAACAAAAATAACAAGCAATATATATACATATATATATATATCTGTGTGTGTGTCTGCTATTTTTTTTAGTTTTTCCTTACTCTATGTGACAATTTTATGCGTCATGATTGCGTCTTTCCCAAAACAGCTCTTTAAAGCAAAAGTAAAATATATAAAACTGAGAATGTTTTTATTATAACTTTGAAAAATAAAACTGTTGAACAAACGCATATATATATATATATATATATATATATATATATATATATATATATATATATATATATATATATATATGTTTGTGTCAATATACAACATACAAGATAACTTATATATACATCATCTGGAAGTAAAGGGCTTAATTGTTTTATTTCGCTCGTAACCCAATATACTGGATGGGTCGTGAAAGAGCAAGAGCGAAGTAAGCAGAACTTTGCTATTTTTATTAGTTTTTCTTAACGTAAAATCCCACTTGGTACTCATTTCTAAGCAATTGACTGTAATTGCCTATTTATTAAAGGGGAAAGGTGTTTATTTGTAATGTTCAACCATTCACCATGAAGAAAG